GGATTTTCCAAATCTCCCAAAAATCCTTCTTCCTCTTCCAAAATTCTCTCTCTTTGCTTCAATTCTCTTCCTCTACCTTTAAGAAACATATTGTTCACTTTAAACGAAGTAAACGAAGGGAATTTATACATAAATCCGGAAGAAAATTCTACAAACCTTTTTCCTTCTTTATCTCGATCGTTTCTCTCGTTCTTTGCAATTTCCCCCAAATCTTTGCTTCTATAACAATAAGAACGAAATGGAGTTGTTAAATCTCACCCTCCAACGCGTTCGTTTGCTAAAATTGGCGTAAGAAAACTCAGAAACCTACCTTCGCACGCTCGGTCGTCTGCCCGCTCCGCTCCGTTGCTTCTTTTCGCGAAACAGCGACCCACGCTGGTCGCGGCTTCTAAATATGGACTGGTGACCGGTTCGGTTGAACCGGTCCCCACAACCGGTCCGTTACACTTTTTTGCCAGGGTGAGTTTTGGCATAGTGGTTTGTTTTACATGTAAAGCATGTAATGCTAGAAGCTTGGGAGCTTGAGATTCCAATGACACCTTTTCTTTAGGATGACTGGATCCCTTGGGAGTAATTGACTATTGTACAATTAGGTTAGGCTACAAGCTAGTTCCAAGGGAGTTAGAGTCTTCTGTGGGATTTTCCAAATCTCCCAAAAATCATTCTTCCTCTTCCAAAATTCTCTCTCTTTGCTTCAATTCTCTTCCTCTACCTTTAAGAAACATATTGTTCACTTTAAACGAAGTAAACGAAGGGAATTTATACAAAAATCCGGAAGAAAATTCTACAAACTTTTTTCCTTCTTTATCTCGGTCGTTTCTCTCGTTCTTTGCAATTTCCCCCAAATCTTTGCTTCTATAACAATAAGAACGAAAAGGAGTTGTTAAATCTCACCCTCCAACGCATTCGTTTGCTAAAATCAAGGTTTAAAATTGCGTAATTAAGCCTCGAGGCAGTTTTCGTCCGTGAGGCGAGGCGTAACCCTCACGGACACAGAATTGCGTAAATGAAAAATTAAGGGTTTTAGCAGGAAAATACTAGCAATATTGTACCTTACAATAAAAACATCTAAATGATATATGAAAATAGTGGAAAATATACAAACATAGCTCTTTTCTCTGCCGCCAATGTCAACTTGTACACTATATTTCCAAGAAAGGTCCCTCCGCAATGATGAAGACCCCTTTTCCTTGCCTCTTACCATGATCCCTAATGAAAGAATCGAAAATCACACAAAAAAGTTCAAAAATTCTAAAACCATAGAATTTCTTTCACTTCAAAAATCTAACCAAAAAGTCAAAAAAAATACCTAAAATCGTTTGTGGACTTCTCCTACAAGGCGGCCGGACACTTCAACTTCGCCGGAAAGAGGCGGCGCCGGCGGGAGAGGCGGCGGGAAGGATGGCCGACCGTGCGGGACGCCTTCGGTTTCGCGAACAGAGAGCTGGAAGCGATTTTTTTCGGAAAAGAGGGAGACCGTGCGGGATGAAGGGAGGAAGAGGTTTCATTTTAAGTGGGTGGGGCCTATTCTGTGAGGTGTACGCCTCACCCAGAATTGCGCAATTGTGCCTCTGAGGCGCGCCTCAGTCCAGGTGAGGCGTACGCCTCAGCCAGGTGAAGAATTGCGTAAGCCTCGAGGCTTTTTTTGGTCAAATTGTGCAAAGGCGCGCCTCTAATTGCGCAATTTTAAACAGAGGCTAAAATTGGCGTAAGAAAACTCAAAAACCTACCTTCGCACGCTCGGTCGTCTGCCCGCTCCGCTGCTTCTTTTCGCGAAATAGCGACCCACGCTGGTCGCGGCTTCTAAATATGGACTGGTGACCGGTTCGGTTGAACCGATCACCAACCGGTCCGTTACACTTTTTTGCCAGGGTGAGTTTTGGCATAGTGGTTTGTTTTACATGTAAAGCATGTAATGCTAGAAGCTTGGGAGCTTGAGATTCCAATTACACCTTTTCTTTAGGATGACTGGATCCCTTGGGAGTAATTGACTATTGTACAACTAGGTTAGGCTACAAGTTAGTTCCAAGGGAGTTAGAGTCTTCTGTGAGATTGAACCTATAGGTACTACTTTTTTTTTAACCTACAGTTACTACTTAATCTATAGGATGATGCATAAAACATCTTCAATAATGTAGATCTCTTAAGTGAGCAACTCTAGAGTGGAACCTTGATATGGTTGTTCAAGGATTCCCTATCACATCATATCAAATCATGAGCTTGTTGAACTGAATTATGTAATTGTCAATGAACATGCATCCTTGATGCATTGTAGTCAATGCATTAAGGAATATTGCATATTAATATAAGTATTTATGTTCAAAGTTTCTTTCATCTTATCTTATGATCTAATGGATGAATGAATTGACCGGTGGTCATTCATTGAAAGTATCAACCCATGTCTTTAAGTCAATCCATGAGCACTTTTGGGTCCAGATGATTTTTAGAACGAGGGGGTTTCATCTTGACTTTTTGGGTGATGTTCTCATCAAATCTCACTCAGTATGTCATGAGGTGACTTAATGATGATCGAGATTGAAAGGAACACCATATTATCGTTGATATCATATGCATTTTGTAGTATGAAATGAGGCAAAAAGTCATCATAACGACCCATAATTATTCAACCCATTCAAGTGGATGACATGAAATGTCGTCAAGAACGGGGGTAAATATAATATTCATTAAAATGATTGACTTCATTTTCCTAGACCCTAGGAGTATTAAAATTGTACTTTATGAGAGAAGTGAAGTGATGTGTTGGCCTTACTCATTACTTGCCTATGTAGTGCTAGCTCATAGTAGAGTGTGCGTATCTTATCCTTTACCGCAATGCATCATAGTGTTGCATGCTTGGCTATGGCTCAAAATGAAATCCTAATTTATATTGTATAGTTTGGTTCAACATTCATTGCACTAGGGACAAACACTTCTCATCACTATTTTTACTATTCATTGAGCCAGTACATATTAATTTTACCGTCATTCGCTTTGGAGCTTTACATTTTTATAGTTCTCTCATGCTATCTTTGCTCATTATTTTTCGTACATGCCTTTTGTTTGTTCTTGCTGTTGGTGCTAATTGCTTCTTGCTCGTATGCTCTTGATAGACTAATTGCTTCTTGCTCATATGCTCTTGATGTCTATCTTAAAACTCTCTTTCACTTTATGCTTCCTAGCTGATCATTTAATCTCACAAGTATTCTAAATTTTTTATGAATTCATTCATTATTTAAGTGTCTATATATTTGATTTTTTTGCTTTCAAATAGTTGAAAATTACTATTATTGTATGAATCATTATTTTGACAAAAAATATTACTTAATTTTCCTAATTAAATAAATATTGTTTGCACATAATATACACCTATATGATGTACAAGTCATGAATACTTTAATTTGTAATGCGTAGCGCTTTGTGCATTTAAGAAAAAAGAATGCTTTGTGCTTTGGAAACATTGCTTGAGCTGTATTTGGTTTGAGTCGAGTCCAAGGATGTTTGTTCTCAAGAGCATTCATGTGGTTACCCAATTCGTGTCAGAAGGTCATTTCCTCTAGCTGTTCTTATAAGAAAACAATAATGTCATCAAACCCACAATCCATATTACGATGTTGATATGGATGATCCATAGGTTGTTATAAGGAGAAAGTAGACCTATGGTTGGACTCAGGACAGCGACAATAACTCATCAATACGAGTGTAAGCTTGATAAACTTAGTCATTTGCAGTTAGGCTAACACAAGCAAAAGGTTTTGGTTACTCAACTAGTATCTAGGAATTGTAATCTTAGCAAGTTTTTTGCAGGTTTATGCTTTTAAAATGATATGGAAATGAAATGACATTTTAATTGAAATAAGATAGATAAGTAATGAATATAATCAAGTGATAATAAGTAGAAAAATACTTGATTTTGATACGTAAACACTGGTAAATTCTAAGGCCAACAAGCAACCTAAGTAGGAATTTATAATGCAGGAAATACTACTGCAGAAAATAAAATTACGTCAAACTAAATATTTTTATGGCAATAAAAGCAAGGATGAATTTGCTTTGGTACTAAATATGTTGTAGGGCGAGTGGAGAAGCTTTGTAATGAAGGTTTAAGATATAAGTCATTTTCATTCTTTTAATTGAATCTTTTACTTGTTGAAGATTTGCAAAAAGATGCAATCTTAATGAAAGTTATATTTTGTGAAATAGAGGATGTAAAATTGAGAGAGGAAATAACACATAAAGTTGATGAAAGAGCAATGCTATTTGTAGACTAGCTTTATGGTTGTACTTAACTAAAGTCGAATGTGTAACAATGATTTTGAAGGTAACCTTCATGAGCAATCTTTAGCTACGAACATGTCTCTCTTCCTTGCAAGTCTATGTCTAAGTGAATAGACTCACACTCCAAGTCAATTAAAGGTCAAAGAGCACAATGTGAATTTTAAAATTTAGCAAAATCTTTCATTCATTTAGCAATCTATGTAAGCCATCATATGGAGTATTTTATCATAATAGAGAGGATATATAGGGTGGCCGGTCAAGGGTTTGGGGAAGGAGAATAAAGTAATTGTGGTGGGGGAATTGAAGTGTTTCATGTTGATTCCAAGAAAACCATTGGTTTTTAATGTTTTCCTGAGGAGGGGACTGCAAGCCTTATTGGGGGGGGGAGAGAGAGTATAAAGTTCGTGTCATACATTAAGTTCTCACTATACAAATGTCACTCAGAAATAAAATGAATGATAAAAACTCTTAATTGCATGAAATTAATACTCTAATGACCATGATGGTGATGATGGCGGTAGTACGTTGCATAACTAGTTAGCGATGCAATACTTTTACAGCAACTCACATTGTTGATGTCCAACAACTGAGCAGATGGCGTCCAGTAGGAACCTTGAGTACAAATATCTTGTCGCCCCCGCCCCTTTGTTATTTTCAGTTTTATGATGACTCACTTTGTAATGGCTGAGTTTATATACAGTTAACATTTTTAGCTCCAATTCCAGACATCTGGCATCCGTTCTATGACTTTCAATCCTGATGGAAGAACTTTGCTTTGTGGACTACATGAAAGCTTGAAGGTGAGCTGCCATTACATTTTCCATCAGTTTACCTTGTTATATATAAAGATTATCAATGTTTGTTCACTTGCAAGATGATTATCAAACTTATTATCTAGGTTTTTTCATGGGAACCGTTAAGATGCCATGATTCGGTGGACGTGGGATGGTCTAAATTATTAGACATGAATGTTCATGAGGGGAAACTTCTTGGATGCTCATATAATCAAAGTTGTGTCGGAGTATGGGTTGTAGACATCTCGGTATGTTGATATTTTCCTTCTTTTTCTTTTCTATTTTTGGGTCTTGGCTTGTTTATGGCAACTTGGTGATTGGATGTGATAGCTGGTCTCTTTTTTGACAGCGCCTTGAGCCATACACCGTTGCTAGCATTGTTAAATCAAATAGTCATTCTGAATCCAAATCTTCTTCAAGCAGTGCTTCACCATTTCATACTGATAACAGCATGAAGGCCAGTGTTGGGAGGCTATCAATTTCTCAAAATTCTGATGGTTTAGCTAAGGAAACAAAACCTATTGCATGTAATTTTTCTTTCTTCTATCTCCTTTTGTTGGAAAATTCTCTTTATATTTTTAATTTTTTTCTAGCTAGCTAGCTTTCATTTGGCTTTACTACCTTCCTTTTCTCTCTACTGAAGCTACTGGAAATGCCCCTGGCACTCCTCAAAAACCTTTCGTAAATGCTGGTACTAAAATGGTGGCTGTAAATTCATCTAACACGACCGCTACACCAAGTGGTATAAGCCTTAAAAGAAGTTTTCCTAAGGGTAATGGCACGGCTGGTTTGCAGACAATCAACAAACCTGATGTGGTCCCTGTCATTGTCCCCAGAACCAGTGCCAAGTTAGAACAAGTCACTGAATCTAGAAAAGAAATTGTTGCTGAAAGAAAAGAACCTGTTATTGAATCTAGAAAAGAAATGGTTTCTGAAAGAAAAGAATCAGTTACTGAAGCTAGAAAAGAAGTTCCAACTGAAAGAACGTTAACTTACAACATTCAGTCAAAGTCAACTGATTCTCGTAGACATCCATCTTCCAGAGATAGTTCTGACAGAGTAAACGTTCCTATTCATTCTGGATTCATGGGCAGTAAAAATGGTGATGATATTGCAGACCAAGGTTTGTTGAATGCTGCTCATGCTGTAAATCAGCCATCAACTAACAGTGAAAGAAGAGTGGATGTTGTTAGGCATACTGGAAATGCAAAGTTGAGAGATAATCTCTCTGTGGAGCCTAGCACAAGCTATCAGCATGAGCCTTGTATGTTTAGATTTCTCTGAAGCTTTTTATGATTATATAATACTTTATTTCATGCTGTTCTTGGCTATCGTCTTCACTTTTAAGTAAACTTTGATTGCATGTTCGATTATATTGTCCCCTTTGTGAAATTTTGCAGTCTAATTTATCCTCAATTGCTTCATTTAACATCTGCAAAAAAAGTAGAGAGAATTGATAAGGAGAATGAATTTCAAGAAAAAAAATCTGAAAATTTGTTTTGGTAATAGTTTAGAAATGCTTATGCCTTTATGATTGGTATTAGGTGGTATTCTTCGTCATGATTTAAGCATCGATTACCATTTTAACACAAACTTAAATATTTCAATTCCACATTTTGTGTTACTTATTGATGGCATATAGCATGCTTAGTATTGGATTTCAGTCAAAGGGCTTGTTTGGATACATGTAGGATTTAATTCAAGTAGGATTTCGTGAATCATGTAAATAGGGATTTACTAAATCTTGTGGGTATTAAATCCTAAAACTTGTTTAACATTGTAGAGGCTAAATTATGTTAAATTTTGATGTACTGTTTGAATACTTTGTTGACTTAAAAAAAATGAAAATGAATAGATACAAAAACAGTTCACTGTAGAGGGCCCCACACCGGGCAGTTAGCGTCGAAATGAAGCATCGCTTCGCATAAGAACTGCCATCGGACAATCCAAAGCAATAAAAAGGAAGAGACACGAAGAAAATGACTTACACTCGCTCGTTCGCTCCGACTTCCGCTCCAAACTTGCTGTTCGACTTTGCTTCTCCGGCCCTGACGCCTCCGCACGCAACGACCCCGTCTCCGCCTCCCACGCCCGACCCGCTTCCGACGTTGTTGGTCCCATCGCCGTTCGACTTCGCCCCTTCAACTCCCTGTGGCCGTCCAACTTTGTTCCTTCGCCTGAGCCAGAGAGAGCACACGGTCGCTTCTTCGGCTCTCTCTTTGCTATTCGACTTTGCTTCTCCGACGTCGAACCCGCCTGCCGATGCCGAACCCGCCGTGCGT